TGATGACTCTCCAACTAATATCATAATAATAAAATTTTCGATAAGAACTGTTTTAGTGTAAAACTTAACTAACGGATGAGGTAGATTAAATGGCTACGCTTTGCATTTCAATTTTCAATCACGTCATACATTGTATTAAAGAATAAAATATCCTACTAGATGTAGCTTGAAAAGCTCTACAATTTATAAAAAACAGTTTATTTTATATATGAAATAAGACAAAAGAAATTTCTCATCGTATAAAAAGAAATTCTTCTTTCGAAGCAGCGAAAATTGGTCGCAAAGAATTTTGCTTATTTTGAAAACAAGCAGTACACAATTAAAATAAACTGTGCTTTGTAGATTGTAGAGCTGTCCACGCTGCACCTTTTGATGTATTTTGTTTTTTAATACAACGTATGAAGTGATTGAAAATTGAAATGCAAAGCGTAGCCATTTAATCTACCTCATCCGTTAGTTAAGTTTCACACTAAAACAGTTCTTATCGAAAATTTTATGATTATTATATTGGTTGAAGATTCATCAAAAAGCATAGGAAAATAGAGCATTCTTTTCTGTATTAGGCTATGTAGAGAGAAAGTTTTCTCAAGCTGTCTATACGAAAATAAGATAATGGCACCACTGCATTTCATATGTCCTAAGTAATAGTCCTTGATGAGTCTTGGGTAACTTCCCTAGATGACCCTTGAGGGCTCATGAATACCCTCTAGGTAACCCTAGAAAAGTTATAAGATGGCTCATATAAAAAGAACCGGTGACCCTCTTCAGCTCATGAGAGGTGATGACCTGATGGAAAGTTCCATCTCTCGAGAGCTCAACTGAGGAACAACTCTAGCTCACGCGAGCTTGAGCTGGTCAACCAGTTCTAGTATCGATGAATATGTGTGAAGAAGAAAGATGACAAAAGAGCAATGATCATGTAAATCAAATGAAAAATAAAATGTTTTCTAATGCTAGAAACCTTTCTATTATCGAGAAAATCATCATAACCTGGAAACGTTACTTACTGAAACATGTGTCATAAAACATTTGTGAGTCATTGTACAATCTGAAAACACATTATTCATCTAATTTGTACCGTCGAAAGAATATTTAAATATGAACTGCAAATAAAACTACGTAATTTCACAACTACTGACCGTGATTTTGAAAAATAATACGCCATACTCAGAAAAAAGAGAATGATTTCAATATATAATGAGTGATTCATAAATAATGGAACACATAGTTTTTCTTTTCGAAATTAGAAATACATTTCAAAGATTTCCTTCGTAACTTCAATAGCCGAAGCATTATGTTTTTTGCAAAATTCTCGACTTCGTTTTCCACATAAGTTTTTTCGTATCAGTGGAAAGCTAAAAACACTAACATGTGTTAAATCGTCTGAATGAGATCTCCAATATTTTTGAAGAACACCAATCAATTCTTTTAAGCTTGTGTACTTTCAAGTATTAATCTAAAATGAAAGCGTTTTATATTAATTAATAACAGATGTTATTGCTCTATATTTCTACCATATTCTACATTAAGTCGATTTTCTAATATCTATGGAAAATTCTCCGTCAATATTTCATTCCATATCTTAATAGAAGTTTATTATAGTCTTTTGTTTTATAAAGTAAAATACCATGTTTTCCATATCTCTCTTATTCCTTCTACTGAAAGGAGGGTCATACGTTGAATGGGTTATCTTTGTTTGTTCGTATGTATGTATGTATATATCTATGTATTTATGCATTTATGCATGTTCGTTCGTTCATTAGAGCGCCGAAGGTGAACTGAGTTCATTCATTAAACTAAGTGAGACAAAGTTTGATCAAAGATTTTTGGACTCAGGGAATCCGAATCCGTGATTAGTTTTTTGAAATTTTGTGCTGTATGCTGCCGTGAATAAGACACTTTGTTTCAGAAACAATTTGTGTCAAAACTTTATCGATTCGCCGAATCAGAAGAATAGTTTGAAAGATATTCATTGCTGAGTTCGAAATATCGCTGATAGAGTGAAGGATTCTGTTGCGTTTGCATCCAATGCATTATGTTTTGCAGAAGTTTAAATAAGTTCGTATTGATCTCAGAAAACTTTGTTTTCCAATATGAGATCGATTTTAGCTCGCACTTTGCGACTCATTTCAGTGCAGACGAAGCTCAGTTGGGAAAACTGAGCTTCAAAATAAGTCGTTCTAAGAAAGTTTGTTATCGTTGCTGCAACTTCAGATGAAAGGGGCTACCCGCCCAGGAAAAGTATCTGTGGCTTCATTCTCAGGTCACATACTACTTCAGCACATGCGTGACGGGATCAATAATAATTTTGTTAAGCGTTTGACCTTGACTTTTGTGTTGTTATGCTATAGGCAGGTATTAACGGAAGAAGTTTACGCTTGATCGAAATTTTTGTTGTTCGTTTTGCGACTTTGGCAATTTTTGAAAGAGTTTCGGGAAGAAGCTCTTGATATCAAAAACAAACGTTTTTTCACTGACAGCAACCGGAATTATTTTTGTTTGTAGCTCTTTGAGTTCAGAATCAAGCTTGCAGCTCGAGAACTCTACCAAAGCATATTTTGATTGTGTTCTAAACTTAGTATGCTTTGAGAAAACTGTTTTGTCGAATTGAATGTCGTCACTCAATTCATCATATACAAGCTGACGAAATATACCACGCGTACCATTGGAGAGTCCAAGTTCAGTCGCAATATTTTCTGTTAGTAAAACGGGCATTCCTGGAATGAGAGGTAAGTAGCCTGAAAGATGCTCCGTTTTATTGTCAGGTAGTTCGAGAATCGCTTTGCGTAATTGTAAATCTTCAATCCTTCTGTTGTAAAAATGCTTGAAGATTTGGAGTTCCGATGAACCGTGTACAAAGAAGTTTATAATCTTTAATAGTCGACTGTCCTTTTCTCAATCTGTTTAAGAGTTCCAAATATCGCACGTTTTCGGTTCGCATTTGTTGGTTTAATTCAACAACGCAATTAATTTGTGATATCACTTTTTGTGCACATTGCATTTCTATTTGACGTTCTGTATATTGCTGTAACGATGCGGAACTGTGACAGAGAGGCTTATCCAACACTGAAGAATATTAGAGGTAGTCCCCCAAAAAAATGACATTTGCACCACCAAAAGGAGCATCCGAATTTATGTGCTTTGCCGTTTTCACTATTCGATTAAGTCGACCTAATAGGCTAAGTCCTACCATACTCATCTCATCGATTATCAAGTATTTTATTTGGCGCCATTCATTTTCCAGTTTTGTGTCGCCAGGTCTGAATGTTCATGTTTGGTTTTTTTTGTAATTTTTGCGACTCTCACCTAAAAAGGAATGAATAGTCGATCCATTAATCTCTGTCGCTGCTATAGATGTTGGTGCCAGTTTATGCAGCATTTTGAGTCTCTTCTTGACTTGGAAATACTTGGTGATTGCACGAATCAATTGAGATTTTCCAGTACCACCACAGCCAGGTACGCAGATCAGTAACTGATTATCGCTAGTGTCTAAATAATTATGGTCAATGATATTTAATTAGTAGAAAATCGAATAATATATACCTGTATGAAGTTGATTCTCGTCATCTAGATGACTAATGTCGGATTTTTTTTAAAGTACCAACGACTACTTTTTGAATAACTTTTCAACGGTTCAAGTTATAGAGGTCGGATTTTCACCGTTAGAAAGAGCAAGGCGGGGGACGTCGATCTGTATAAAATACATTAGATTTATGAGCCTTTTGTATGGTTGTTTGCAGTCAAATATCTTATCGGTTGTCGATTTTCATGAGTTTTCATAAAAAATTAACATCTAATTAGATCTAAATGTAGCCCAAATCGTCCTGTATTTGTGCTAAAATTTTCAAATCTTTGGGACTTATTTTTGAGTTTATTTTCTTATGCTTTGATGTTAAAATGTGAAAATTTTAGCACAAATACAGGACGATTTAGGCTACATTTTGATCTAATTAGATGTTAACTTGTCATGAAAACTCATGAAAACCGACAACCGATTAGATATTTGACTGCAAACAACCATACAAAAGACTCATAAACCTAATGTATTTTATACAGATCGACGTCCCCCGCCTTGCTCTTTCTAACGGTGAAAATCCAACCTCTACAACTTGAATCGTTGAAAAGTTATTCAAAAAATAGTCGTCGGTACTGTAAAAAAAATCCGACATTAGTTTTTTTTTCAAAACGTTTCCACAACATTCATACACCATTCGAATCGTCATCAGACAGGGAAAAAATGTATGCATGGGTTTAAAATAATTTTCTTCCCTCTCTGAGAAAATCCGTATTTTCGAAAACAGTGGGAAAATGTTGAAAATCCTGCTCGTATTTTGAGATTTTGATCACCAAAACCCAATATTCATGCAAAATAAATATGATATTCGGAATCAGCATAAAAATTTACACCGAATGATGTATATCTCATTAAATTACATTTTTCGTCAAAATTCCATCTGTACCCGCCCTCAGCTAGTTTTCCTACATTTTTCCCTATGGTCCCCTACAGGTGGAATTTTGACGAAAAATGTAATTTAATGAGATATACATCATTCGGTGTAACTTTTTATGCTGATTCCGAATATCATATTTATTTTGCATGAATANTGATGTCTTATTGCTCTATGTGCCTTAATATGGTAACCTAAAATAACATCAAGTCAAAGATCAAATCCACTTGAACTAAATTCGTATCGTTTTTCATAAAAACAGGTTAGACAAACACATACCGATGTGTGTGAACAAGTACGTCTATCTTGTAAACATTGTGCTCCATTTTCACAATTACTCTGACCAAAACAATCGAATTTTCCCGAATGATTAAATTCGAAGCAATTGGCTAAACGTTGTTTTCCATAATTGTTACATAAACAAAAATGATCATTATCATAACAACAAGATAATAGTGGTGAGGCTTGTTGACATACTAAATGATAATATTTAATACGATGAAGAAGATGAAATTCAGCAATAGTCTTATTCAATACTTCATTTATATATTTTCAGTAACCTGATGGTTTAACTATTGTAGAGATTGCGCTTGATCGATTGTATGTTTTTTGAACTGTTATTAAATAATAATTGTTATCAAAAAATTTTGCAAAGATAATGTGAAATGGACGTGACCAGAAAATAGTGATTGAATTTTGATTGACAGAAATAGTTTTGAATGTCAAACCATTTTCCGGTACAGCATCATTGATTACTTCAATAAAACGAATGAATATTGATTGTGGTAAAATAATACTTTTATGAAATGACACAATGATTTTATTATCAGCTATTTCACATTTTTTTCCACTGAAACCTTTTTGACAAATACATATAAATTGCTTGTTAGGTATTATGTTTTTATCAATAGGGATACATTGACCACCATTATAGCATGTAGGATTTTGATTAGACTGACAAGTGAAATCTTGCAGAAAACCTTAAGAAACTCATTTATTTACTGGACAAACACATAACAATCGATTGTTTGCTACAACACCCATACATAAAGAGTCAGAGGAACATGTACAATATTGACCAGACCATCCTTGATTGCATTTACAAAATGTAACGCCCTTTGAACCATTTGAGTATTGAATACATGCACCATGAACACTTTCCTGATTTGAACAAATTTGTAGTTTATGACTTGTATGTGGAATGTTTATTTCAAGAGCAATACGATGTACAGGTAAAAAAGAAAATTTGAGTGATATTAATAAACTAGTTCGATAGACAAGTGAAACTTTTTCATAAATATCAATATAAGGTGGATATTTTTTTTGTTGGACTTTTTGGTCGAGTTGCATACAATAAATAAGTATTGAATTTAATTGAACAATGAAGCATATACAAATAAGCAAATTGTTAATATGAATGAAAGATTCGCTCATCACTATCATCGATAAGTGAGACAATAATGGCAAATAATGTTCTTCGAGAATCCGAAATTGTTTGAAATTGCATAGTAAGACTGATTCGTTGATTCTGATATTGACACCTGTTTCCATAAAAACTTGGTGGACATAAGCATGCCATTATAGTCAAGTTTTTTTCTTCATTTAACCAAACTCGTAAAGGAATACCATGACGGCATGGTTGTTCATCATAACAGATCTTTCGTGTAATAGATGAAGATGGAGCTAGTATTTTTGTGTTCCGTTGTGTTGTATATTTAGTTGAATTATCAAGTCGATGAAGTGCAAAATGTATCATTTGTGGTTTACTAGTATCAATTTGACGTTTACAAAAAAAATTCTCAATGTCAGAACGAATCAAGTCCTAATCATCGGGGTGCAAATGCTGGGCCAAACAGTGTAATTTTTAGAAGTGTCACAAACTCGTATATCAACTTTGTTGCCAAATTTACTGTAACCGCATAAATTGTTGATATCAATACAAGAATTATTCATACAATTCATAAATAATAGTAGGTTTCTCTTCCTTGTTTTAATTTTATTATATAGTAACGTTTCGACGTTGAACAACGTCTTCTTCAGGGTGTGGGTGTAGATGGATGTCTCTCCTCATCCACACCCTCACCCACATTCACACCTATACCCACATCCACCCACACCCAACCTTGAATATTCGATAAATATTTCAAAACATGACATTTTTTCAAGTTTATACCAATATTTTGCTTTTAATTCAACTGTGCATTTTTCAAGGATTTTGAAGCTTCTATTTCTAAAATAAGACCAAATTGATGGTTAGAGGGTAAGACAACATTAGAAAACAGTATATAAAGTAGTATAATGTACATTTCATTAATGGATCAATATGACTCATGAACGAAACATGTGCTGACAATTATGAAGTAACTCAAAGTATTGTACGTAAGTCATGATCGATGTTGCTAGATCAATTTTATTTTTCAGATGTTAGTTTCGGAGTACGTTAGAAATTTCGCGTAATCAAGTTTTGATAGCGTAGCTTTCATGAACATTGTCAATGGGGTGGTATTTGAGATCCTATTTCAAATATGAGTGTTGAGAGTTTTCCTTCACATTCTGGGTTCTGTCGTTATAGATGAAATACTGTGGGTAAACCTGTAGTTCGTAAGTTTCAATTTATTTCGATAAGTCTACAAAAAATGGTGAAATATTTATCGTTCGGGACTCAATCGGACAGTTTATATTCTCAGGCTGATTTCTCGAATATGTATACTTGAGTCAAAATGCATCCGAAAGATCTGATATTTCTACCATGAAGTACTCCCATTCAGCACTTTATTCATTATACAAGGTTTCGGATCGAAATTGGGACTTTCAGCTTTTCTCAATATTGCAATGCATATTGCCGCGGCCCTCGAGACTATGAGAAAAAAATGAAATTCCGATTTTTGGCCAAGGACTTTGCATGTTTAAAGCATTCGATCAAAAACAGTGTATGATAATAATTTTAAAGCTTTTAGATGGGTTTCAATTGAAATAGGAACATCAGCAAGCTCAATTGAACTATGTAGACTATGTTATTAAAATTCAAAAGCCAGCTGTGACACCATTTTCACAGGCTTATCGAGATTACCTGAAATTTGATAAGCAGATTTTTTAATATGAATTTTCATCTGAACTACTTCCATCGAGCTTCTGAAAATGAATTATGAGTCTATATAGTCAGAATGATGACCTAAATATGGTGTTCATCTTCTTACCGAAATTGGATTTGTCTGACTTTTGAAAAGGCATTTGACATCTAAAGAGTCTTATTTTTTCGAAATTCAATGGAATTTATTAATAAGTCACTAAGCAGATTGAGACAGTTTCCATACGGTTCCTTAGTGGATATATGAAATGGATGGGGGCATACGTGTGGGTGTGAGTGAGTGGAAGATGCATTGGTGTTAATGTGGTTGTGAGTATGTTAAAGTATTATCATAATTAATAAATCCTCGAGCAAAATAAATCACGAAAAAAGAGGTCCCATAAGCCCCTCACTTGCTTTATCTTTGGGGACACCCTTTCCGAAAAAAGCACAGAGTCCCAACCCAAAACATATACTCATAAAACACTTTAATTAGCATTAAAAAATGAGCTATCATGAATAGTATTTAACATAAAAATATCTTTCTTATAGCTGTTATCGTTGTCTTAAAGTGGACAATTTACTGGAAACTATCCCTACTTCAGGTAGTCAACATGAGACCTGCACCGTCATACTTGTATAGTTTGTATCTTCGAAACGACTCATCCGCTTTAGCTGAAACTTTCAGTTAATTTCACGCACAAATGTACCTACCCACAGGATAAATATCATCCGAATAGTGAAATTGATCTAGCAACATCGATCATGACTTACGTACAATACTTTGAGTTACTTCATAATTGTCAGCACAGATTTCGTTCATGAGCCATATTGATCCATTAATGAAATGTACATTATACTACTTTATATACTGTTTTCTAATGTTGTCTTACCCTCTAACCATCAATTTGATCTTATTTTAGAAATAGAAGCTTCAAAATCCTTGAAAAATGCAAAGTTGAATTAAAAGCAAAATATTGGTATAAACTTGAAAAAATGTCATGTTTTGAAATATTTATCGAATTTTCAAGGTTGAGACTATTCCGAGTTTTGTTGAACTTATCTCATCTTGTAGAATAAATCACGAGGAAGTTTTCTATGATAGTCTGTTTTCTGTCCATATGGAAAATAAGAATAAAATGACTTCGAAACATGTAAGCGTTTTTAGCAAAAATAGCATAAAACTGGAATTTTTTATAAATGATCTTATATTTCGGGGTGCGATGGTTCCTAATAAGAAAAATTTACAATTAATCTATTTATACCATTTTGTAGAGAAAATTTCGCTGAATCTATCGATAGTATTTGATAAACGTCCCAGTGACACTTTTCAAACGAAAACTACACACTTTTAAAATCACTAGAAATCTATAAAAGTCGTTAAAATTTGTACTATGAGTGTTCATAAAAATGTTTGCTGATGGCCGATGGAGAACCTCTTATGAGAAACGAAAATATAGGGAAATGTGCGTTTCAAAACGGGCTTTCAGCATATATAACTCAAAACCAATTCCAAGGGGTGGCAGATTTCGACTCTTATCCAGCGGGGTCCTTTGCTTTCTTTTGAATAAACATAACGTTTTTCAACCGCTGACAATGTTGTTGTATTGCGGTCATTTGTTTTTGACAGTTTCTTGCAGAACATCTCAAATTATCAAGAAACCCACCTTTCGCTTTTTATGTAGCAAAAATTTCATCAATATCTCAAGTTTGAAGAATCTATTTACCTTATTGTGGATAGCAATCATGAATGAATGTGAATAAAACTCTACATTGTTAATTGCTTTAAAAATCATCTTATTTTGGTGATGATTTTATAGCCTTCGTTAGTAAACGAATGATTTCACTGATGATTTTATTTTTATACAAAATAGTTACTGAAAATAATTATTTTAGTTATTCAGTCAACAGATATGGATATTCGGAATATTTTGTAGTCTTTGGACCACCAATCGATATTCGAATATATTGATATTGTTCTCCTTGTCGAAATGTAAAATGTTTTATACCGAGACGATTCGGATTATTTTCCAATCAATGAAGATCTAACTTCTCAATGAAAACTTCTAAATAATCATCTTTCGAAAAATCATCACATATAAACCCAAAATAATCAATATGAACAAATTGATCAATGATATTCAACATTTGATCTTTTGTTCTTATTGGAATTTCAAGTTTTTTAACATTTTGTATTGTATGACAAACATTATCAGTCGATATTAATCCCGAATCATCTTCTAATCTAAAGAGTATAAATTTGTGATGGCATGGGTGTGGGTGATTCTTCATTAAATCCATACCCACCCCAAAGTGATTGATTGAATTATCTTTTTTTTACGATTCTGCTGCGCATAGTGATCCAACAATGTATGATCGCTTTTCTAAAACACATCTAATTTTATCTTTGCATAAAGTTATGTTTTTTCTTAACGCAATTACGCTAATTGTGTTTACAACGATCAGTAACTCTTTAAGGAACAAACATGTGGTTGTCTAAATAACAACACAATACCATGTTTGAAGTAGTGAACCTATTGACATTTTCTCTTCACTGATATTTCTTGGTTATCATATATTGATATTCTGAAAAGTTATTCAATTCTAATTGCTTCTCGTTTAAATATGTCATAAACTGATTCTTCGATTTGTCACTCGTTTATTGAAATTTCCTCACCACAACTACTCTTTATTTTATCATGAGATCATGTCTCGATTTCCATTAAATTATTATTAAAAATGATGAGAAAAATGAGAAAATTGTTTCAAGTCTGAGTAAATATGTTTCAGCAACATGTTGAAAGGCAATGGATATAGGTTCTTTCCTCCCAAAACTACATGATAACGATGTATTTACTGTAATTCCTGTTTTTTTAAATCATGTTTGAAATCAGTGACGGGAAACAAACCGAATCGAACTATAACGGTTTAGTTAGAGTCGATCCCATTCGAACTGGTTTTTTTAATACATAGTCGAATTAGACTCGAACCAATGAAAGTGGATTCAATTCAGTCTCTGGTTCACATATCAATATTTATTCAAATACTGTATAAATACTGAGCATGTCGCCTTGGAATTCATAATCTAGATTTTAACATTCATGAGACACTACATTAATAGTAAAAAGCTTAATTCTGCCAAATAAGCGAGCTACTGTGAGTCACTATTGAACTTAATAAACTAGTGTAAAAAAAAAGATAATTCAAGTTGTGTTTAGCATATTACTGCATTAAAATATATTTAGTCATGCGAACCCGTTTTAACGCATAAATTTCAAGAAAATTACACGTTTTAACAGGCTGAAGATCAGGTAACGTGTTTTTTTAAAGGCCTTGTCTGCCTGGATAGGAACAATCACAAGATTTGAACTTTTCGTAAAAGTTTCAAGTTGAAATTCGAAAGTCGATTTTTGCTGGTGCCTCTGATGGGGAACACGCCATTGTGCCAAAAATATAATATAAAAATGCAGTATCTCGGCAGCAATAAGTGGATAGTCCGAAATCTTTTCATGATATTCATAGGTCATTATCGTTGATCATTCATTTGGATTTCTGTATGCATCTGTAGTATTATTCTTTATGTTTATTATATAGGAAGACTCGATGTTGTATCATATTCATGATGAAACGATAACCATTGTTCTCAAAATGAATCAAGAATTTATTTATTAATTTTACAAAATATTGATCATCAACGTCAAAACTAACATGCGATGCAAAAGTCTTTGCACAAATGTTCGATTCTATTAGACCATATTGCCAACTTCTCAACCAATCAAATTTTTTTTTGTTGGAAAGAGCAATGTCTGAACTACAAATTTTGTACCAGACATATTTTTCCAAAATGAATCTCAGAAGGAGGAAAAGGCAAAAACCAAATACCTCCAAAAAAGTTCTTGCAACTTCGGTATCGCGCAATATCATTTTCTCTTTTTTGTTATTTTTTTTATATCAGAAGAGAAACGGAAAAATACGTTTAATGATGATTTTTGTAGCAAAAAGAGTGCTCTTTCCAATGGTATATTGGAAGCTNTAACCGAAAAGAAAATTAAAGAATTAATTGATAATCAAAACTGATCATTGAAAATTCTCAAACCAACAGTAACTTATTAATATTCGTCTACTTTTTTTTCATTTTTCTTGTTTTTTTTCAACTTCATTTGTTATTTGCATTTAAAATGACTTTTTAATTACAAAATTAAAAATAGCCAAGAAATTTTGAAACAGAATACAGAAAATATTATACGTTGATCTGAACTCTCCAGGACTTAGATTCGCAGTTGAATGCAAACCGGGTCTGAAAATAAATCACATATGGACCCGGACCCAGACTCGGACCCGGTCCCGGATGGCATTAATTTTCTGGACCCGGACCCGCTACTCTCTATTTGACACGATTCATGATCCAGTCTACGTCGCCGATGGCAAATCAAGTTGGTTAGAAAAGCAATATCAGCATATCTTTGACGAAGATAGCTTTCAAAAACCTATCGATTCAGTCCTTGTTTATTCACAATATGTTAATTACCATATCGAGAGACATCGCCGTGCAACATAACACATGCTGGTACGCATGATTGTTGAAATTTCTACTATTTTGCACTGTAAACTGTACATGTGTCCAGGTCGATGATTTCAGCCCACGCAAATGACGGTAATCTACTGAAAACGACGATTTTTCCGGCTGGTTCCAGCTAAAATCTCCGTCAAACCCATCAGAAACCCATCGAAACTAGCTCGTACTGTTTGTTCTATGCCGGTTATGAACAGAATAAAAAATAAACTTATTAATTCTTCCTTTTCTATGTGTTTTCACTAGGGTTCCTATTATGTTTCTTATCTTTCTTCTTTTTTTCCTACCTTAATATGAAAAAAAGTAACGCTATCTGATTAGTTGTCTTATAGGATTTGAATGTTTTGTCTATTGATAACCTTATTTTCAATTCGCTACCTTCATTTCATACAAAATTCAACTTCTATTACCAGTTCTTAAAAGCGTTAAAAAAGTGTCTTGCCCCCTCGTGAGTCTAGTGTGAAACTAATATGCACTTTAGGATAAATCTTTCTCTATAAAAGAGTTCGCTAATTTGAGCAATATTGATAGCTGAAAGCTGCGGATTACTACATGTTTTCGTTTTTCAATAATTTGAATTTTATTTGTGTTGATTTCCATGAGACATACAGTGGGTCTCGCCCTCTTCTATTTGACTTCTCACCAAACTTCAAAGAATTAAAAGTTGATTCTTTTACTACAAATGTCAATTGGCGTATTATAAGTTATTTTTCTTCTAAAGAATAAAACTTGAGTAACATATTAAAGATCCCTCCCATGTGTTTGTGTCACCTGCCGCCTATCAGAGCTATAAAGTCTGGAAGTGCGGGCCAAATTTAATTATTTTTTAGCTTCTTTTTCGAATGCGCTACTGGATAGAATATGTTTCAAAATCGAAAAGGTACAGCCGTTTATGGGTGTGGGTTTTAACCATTCTCCTGAAAAAGTAGTACAATGGACATCAGAATCCCTAGAATATATCAGTTTTATACAATAAATTAAAACATGTTCAATAAAATTTATTCTATTGAAAAAATTTATTTATTAAATGAATGTTAAAGCTGCTCGACCATTCAATTTGATTTATCAAAGCTATGCTTAACTTTTGGTTGAAACTAAATGAAGTAAGTGAAAACAATTAATTTATCAATAACGTTGCTTCAAATTTACCTGAAGCACAAGAGCTTTTATCAATAGCAAACATTTGAACACGATGATTTGCTGTATCGGCTACATACAAATTTCCGTGACGATCAAATGTTAAATGATATGGATATGATAGTTGATTTGTCTGGTTGCCAGAACCTCGTCCTCCAACAATGACACTGACCGATTCGTTCTCTTTGAACCAACGCATCACACGATGGTTGAACGAGTCAAGAACATAGAGAGTACCACTTTTGTCAACGGCTACGGAAACAGGCCTACTGAATTGATTTGCATCAGCTTCTTGTTTATTATCACCAACCGTGACAATACCTTCATGGGCGCCAACCTGCCATTTCATCACGCGATTATTATAATAGTCAGCCACGAAAACTGACTTCTCCCGATCGACAAACAAACTGATCGGATACGAGAGTTGATTAAGAGCAGATCCTCTGCCATTTCCACCAGCAACCACCTGACCACTAGGCATTTTCATTACAATATTTTTTTCATAGTCGGAGGCATACAACGTTCCTTCATAATCCATTGTCAATCCTGAACATGCAATATTAGCAATGATCGTTTGACCATGATTGTCATTCTTATACCATCGCTGTACTCGTTTGTTAAAACGATCACACATAAACATTGTTCCATTCTTATCAATAGCAATATTTGTCACACCCCATAGCTGGTTATTTTGGTTGCCTAATCTATTTCCACCAGCCACCACTTGTCCACTAGAGACTCCAGATGCCCATTTGACCACTCGTTGATTGCTTGTATCCGCAACATAGATGGTATTATCGTCATCTACATACAATCCCCATGGACTATTGAGTTGATTCAATGCAGATCCGCTCCCAAATCCTCCAGCCACAGTGACACCGTGTTTGTTCCATGTTGCGCTCACACAGATACCATCGTCAGGCATGATGGGTTGAGGAGAAACTAAATGGTACAGAGATGAATATAATAGACTTGCCGCTCTTACTGATTACTTGTTGTTGTTGGTGGACACATCATGTTGGTGGTCATATCTATTGGATAACATACTGGAGAATGTTGACATTGTGGATGTTTGATACACACATGATCAGGTTCATAGCACATGTGATTATCTCTGTTACATGAGTTCAGTTCGGAACAGACGAGATAAAGATAACCACACATACTACTATTGTCAGTGCCTGCCAAAGGTAGACAGCCACATGCGGTATTGGATGAACATCGATCATATTGAACGATGTTCTGACATGACTGAGCTTCGATTTGATTCACTTACGTTCGTTAAGACAAGTAGATAGACGGAAAAATAAAAATAAAAATGCATACCTGAATGGCTAAAAATGATATTGTGATTATATCATACGCAGAGTTCTGACGATTATCACTTACTCGAATGTCACTAAAAGGGCAAAATATATTAGCCACATTGTTTTCATTTATTCATCACTTTATTTCTTTATTCATTATAAGTCTACTATACATTTTTCTACAATGGGACCGCAACCATCTGTCAAACAATGATAATATACTTCTTGATCCAATCGCAAACGAATAGGATAAAACTATGAGACCGTTTTCTAATATAGCCTGCTTTACTTGTGCACGTTCGAAGTGTAAAATTTGTCTATTTCTTCATTTATTATTTAAAAATTTTAATGTTGAAGTTGATAATCAATCGATCATACCCTTCATTTCACACGTATCAACAGACTGCTGTTGCCCTTTGCCTTCGTACGAGTATACCTGAATTCTACGCATACACAACGTGTATCCATAGTAATTTATCATTATACATTATCTATTTATCAAAAATCAAGTAAAAAAATGAAGATTTAATTGATGTAAATGGTGTACAATTGTTATACTAACATACCAACATCAATGAAAGATTGAATGATTGAGGATACAGATATACAGCAAAAAATTTTAAAATACAATAATAAAAAAGAAAATTTCGACAAGATTTGCACATGCAAGAGACGTCATTCACGTAAATAAAGAGCAACTGTTGACGTCAGTCAAGTTCTTTTGTTCGATGATAATGAAGGCGAACTTCGGGCAGTCACACACCAACGCAAGAAATTTCAATGTGGAAATAAGAACAATGATTATCAAGAACAAATTGCCATCACGTACAAGAATGACGATTCGAACCGTCTTCAACAACAACAATACTTACATACAAGAAGAATAACAATTATCTCATACACGTTTACTAATGCAGACATGACAGTGATGAATCTTGAGGTGTGAATGTGACTGTGAGTCATGTTTTCATTCATACCCATACGCACACCCACAGGTTAATTTTCATTCCACTAATTCAATATAGTTTCATTGTAGCTTTATGTTTTTTGCTACGATTTTATCTATTATAACGGCTTTATTTATTTTTTATCAAGATCTCTCTATTGATATTATTTTTTTATGGGGATATTTGTGACGTTTGTTTTTGTATTTTCACTTGTTAGTAATTACAAAATAAATTAATTGTTGAAACACATACTGTGGATCCTACAACAGATAAGAACGAAGCAGAAAAAATAGGTACAACAACAATATCTTGCATATTATACGTCTATGGATAGTTGTATATGATCCAGCCATTCCATGCTGTTTCCATGTCAACCCTCTATCATGAAAAAAATCACCTGGCGTCATCTATTTGTTTTCTGAAAATGCTCACGATAATATTTAGCAGGAATTGTTGCTCATATTACGCTGATTCTGAATATATATAAATCTTATTATACCGCACGATTGTAAAACAATACTCGTACAACATATTTAAAAATAATTACTAAAATATAAGTGCATTTGTTTCAATAATCAACATATTAAATAAAAACGTGATGTAGTAGAGAAAGCAAAAACGTAGTTACGCTTCAATAGGTTCTGTTGGATGAAAAGAAGTTTTCATTTATGAAATGACTCAGAAATCTGTCACTTTTTCGTTGTATCATTGATAAACTTGTTTTTCTCTTTTAACAATATTAAACACTAATATATAATATTCTAGATTTATTTATTTTTTCACTTTTTAATTATATCATCTTCCACCACTTGGTATGTTTACATGATATACAAGGGTCTTATTTGAATGCATGATGCGTCGTACACGAAAATGACTTTGTGGACGAGGACGGTATATATTCTGTATAAGTAATTACAACTTTTGTCACTTATTCATGCAGACACGAAAAATGGAGAACTTGAGCGGTTTTAAGAAAACTTGACCATCAAATAATATGGTAGACATTATTTTAAGACATTTTTAGTATATCACACTTTGTAACCAAGCGACTTGATTTTAAAAAATCGGAACATACATCAATCTATGCACAATTTCGCGCTTTACATTTTGAAAAAAACTATCTTTCAACCGTCATCAAGCCATAATTTTAAATCTTAGTTTTTATTGGTGAGAGTGACGGACGGTATTGAAAATGAGTAATCCAATCAATCTCAAACCCACTTAGCACATAAAAAAGAGCGTAAAAAATTGAACAAAATCATATAATTTTTGTACGAAAAAGTTTCGTTTTTGAGTGGATTTTTGACAATTTTCGTTTATGATGAGTCACCGATTTTGGAATTTCATTTTTTTCGAACAAAAACACAAGTTTAGAGTTTTCAATTGTTATTAGTTTTCAAGAGAGTTTAATTTTCTACAACATAAGGCCCTTCGAACTTCTCTATGACATCCGCAAAACTCTGCGTTAAAAATATTTTTAATGCACACATGTCAGTTTTGATAGTATACACAAGTCAAGAGCGCCATCTATCATCAGCATCGTATTTTGCTTATAAGTTCGACAATTAGAATGAAGGACGTAAACGAGATTTTTCTCTGTAGAATGAGATGTCTTCCAGTTCTTCACATTCAATCGTTCGAGACACATATACGACTATAGTGTCGCACACGTGTCTGTCTCATTTTTAATCGCTAGCTGTTGACCATTTTAGGAAAATATTTGTATCTTTTTAGCAGCATCTGCTACATTGTCTGTTTATTTGAAATGAGAATTTGCAATTTTGCAAAAAAATGAATATTCAAATAAAAAACTCAAGTTTCAGATAATTCAAAAATTTCAGAAGGAAAGATTTGGTGTTTTTTTATCATAGTTGGATAGAGGTAGTTGAGTTAGTTGTAAACATGCAGTTTTAGGCGTATTTAGATGATATTTTTGTCGTGAAATTTAGACGAGTTCTGTATATGTTTAGTGTCTAGCAATTTGTATAGGCTTTTGTGGACTAAACTCGGCTAAGTTTTACGACAACAACATCATCTCAATGCCCCTAAAACAGCAGATCTATAACTAGCTTGATTAACTTTATTCACAGTGATAAAAAACACGAATTTTTTCCTCAAATTTTGAATTGCCGGGACGTTGGAAAAGAAAAATAGTGAACAAATGCTTTGTATGCGGAATAAGTGTATTTTTGTAAATTGAGTCATCTCCTAAAAAAACGTAAATTACGAAAAATTTAAAAAAAATAATTTACTTAAACTTTTTGAATAAGTTGATTCGAAAACCAAAGAGAAAAAATAAATAAATTGTCAATATCTAAAAATTAAAACAAGCAGAGATGATAATAGACTAATTCCTTCTGTGCTTTATCACAAATAATTTAGATTTATATATAACTAAAAGGCAACTAAAATGACAACCCGTTTTTTTCTTTCCTTCACTTTTATCCATGATATAGCTTTATTTATTCAAGACACGCTACTGACACATGTGTCGATAGCGTGTCGTATTGACGTAGGTGATTAAGATTTACATAGGTGTCTTAAAAAATACTAACTTCGCATCAATTTTTGTAGGTATGCTAAAGGAATACGAATGACTCATCGTGTAGAAAATATAATTCTCTACAAAGTTAACAATAATTAAAAACTTAAAACTTGTCTTTTGATCGAAAAACAATTAAATTCGAAAGTCGATGACTCATCGCAAAAGGAATTTCTCAAAAGTACACACTCAAGCAGAATTCTTTTTGCACACAAATTATGAGTGTACTCAGCTTTTGACGCTATTGGGCGCCATATTTCCAAGAACGAGTTTTTGACAATTTTTTTCAGCATTATGTTTTGATGGATAGCTAGTGTAGTTGTCAGTTCACGTTTTCATCACAAAAAAAGTCAACATAGATTTCCTTCTGTGGTGAAAGTTATGCCAACTACTAGCCTCATGTAACTATGGAAATATCTAGGCATAAAAAACCTGAAAGCCTGAAACTATCATGTTTAGCATAAAAACCGAACTTTGTAGTTCATTTAGTCTTTCTATCGGCAGTATTAGTCGTATACGAATTAATGAGCTTTTCAATTGTGTTAAATAATAAATTTTAAATAAGAAAAAATCAAACTTATCAATTCCTGAACATATATCATGTCACTATCGAAGAAGCTAATGTCAAAAAAGCCGACATGTTGTTCAATATCAATTGGTGTGAGTTACTAGATTAAAAGTTTTAGAACAGTTATTCTTTCCCTCGTGTATTAACGTATTTTGAGTGTGGCTGAGTAGAATAAAAGAGTTTTTTGGCAGTTCAATTAAATATTGCATCTCATCACCGATCTGGTTCGGTCGAAGAAAATTCTATCGGTTTCACGTACGCATTCCATTTATTAGTGTAAAAGGAATTAAGCATAGGCAAATATTGCTATCACCTTTTTATTATATTGGGATGATACTTTTCGAGGTGTAGCCATAAGGCTCAGAGCAAACGTTACCGATCTTCATATACACATGGAAGAATACCGTAAAGGCTTGTTAGCGCAACTCCTTTGGAGCTGAAATATAACACCTACATGTCTTCTTCAGCTTCATTATACTAATATAAAATTCTCAAAGTGTCAAGTCTTTAAAAGTCCATATACCTTTTTCTACAATAATCGATTGTTCGCAAGCACTGCCGTTTTTATTTCTACATTTAAAACAATCTTTTATCTTTTGTTTTTTGACGAACGCCTTTTTTTTTATTTGTCTTGTTGCTATTCGCATGGTATTCATTTCCTTGTTTTTATTAAATTTTCATAATTTATAATTATTAGTTTAACCATTAATTTGATGGACAAATGAGGCTATTGTACACATTCGTTTTATTTACAGCAGATCTTAAAAATCTATTATATATCTCGACAGACTCAGTAAGACTGAAATTGGTTATTTCCGAAATTTACAACGTACGAAGGAACATCCAGAAGCGTCACCTCGCTTTTGAGCCCATCTTTTTACCATAAATAGATCTCAATGAGACTAAATAAAAGCCAAAATATGTCATGCCCACCATGTGTTGCTGCCGAGATATATTCAGATAATTGTCTGTATCAATTGACGTAGCATATTGTTGATTTCTCATTTCTGATTTTCTTTGAAGAATTGAGCAGCGAAATAATTCTTCGTAAAAAGACTTAGCTATTGACTATCTCTATCAAATGTTTTATCCCTTTAACATCTAGTAGCTCTTCAGATACCCAGTTTTCATTCAAGTATCTATCAAAAGTCCACTTACTCTTTAGTTTTCACATATCTGTTATCAATGAATAATCCATCCAGACATACATATCCTGACGGATATAATAGTGTTCTCTAAGAAGTGGACTAATGGAAATGATAACTTATAAAGAAGTGGTCGAAGCACAGAATATGCCGACACCAGCTGTACTGTATAAAGGGAGAGAAACTGCAATCATTGTGTTGACATGCGATGTCATCGGGAGTAAAAAAACTTCCTTGAAAGTTAGGAATTATCCTCGATGACGATCGACATAACCACTAGTAAACCAAGAGTATTGAAGTTGAATTATGTTGTTCCGTTCGATCATTGAAATAGGCAATTGATTCAGCATAATTCTGTCGTACGTTCGTCGAATAATCATCTTCATCTGTCGATTAAAAAAGACATTAAAGGAATAAAATATTTGGTAGAGATACTCAATAGCTAAGTGTTTTTATGAAGAATTATTTCGCTATTCAATTCTTCATGGAAAATCAGCCATGCGAAATCAGTAGTACATTACGTCAATTGATACAGATAATTATCTAAGTATGTCTCGATAGCAACACATGGTGAGCAGAAGATATTTTGACTTTCATCCAGTCTCATCCGGGTCTATTTATGGTAAAAAGATAGGCACAAAAGCGAGATGACACTTCGAGATGTTCTCTTTTTAGTCCAGTTATGCTTTTTGCATTGATCATAGGACAGTTATGGAAAATCATAATATCATCCTTGATATCGACAGCATAACCGTTTATTTGCACCAAAAACCAGAAATTCTGTTATTTAGAATATTGATAAGTGTCTTTCAGCCATTTAAATTTTAAAGAAGATTCTGGAATCGTCTAAGCCTTATTAGTAATATCGTCAACACCTTTAATCCTGGTTGCTAAGATCTGTAGTGGACGAGGGTTTACGAGAGCCGCAAAAACCTCGATTTAAACTTTCAGTTACTATATTTTCTTCGAAAATATATACGAGCTCCACAAAATGAATTTAGGTTCAAGATCATTAGTTTAGTGGTGTACAGCTAAGAATATAGATATAAGGACATAGGGAACGGTATAAATGTGAAGATATAGACACAACAATATACATGTAATCGACCACACCTTAAGATTACGTTGAAAACATAGATTTCCTGTGATGTAGGCATAACGTTATAGGAATACTAACGCAATTGCAACACTACAGATTTAAAAACAACAGGCGAACGATACAGGCATCAAAATATAGCCGTAAAAGTAAACTGCTAAGCGGTTCATTATAGGAATAAGAGTTTCGAAATAGAACTAAGGTATTAGATATAGTTATAAGGCACCAGATATAGCTACAATGAGTTAGTAAATCAGTAAAAAGTTTGACATAGTTAACAATAGTCGACTGTAGGAAAAACGATTTAAGTATGGAAATAAGGAATTGGGTATATTAATAAAGGGTTGAAGATAGAAATAAGCCATTCAGTATGTCAGCAAGAGTTGCCATATAGCAATAAAGGAATATCAGTGAGCAGATAAGATCAATGGAATTGCAGTAGGGACGGTATGAAACCTTTCGTACGAAACTTTATTTTTGGTTTGATAAAAAAGGTTTGGCGCAACATTAACTCTACGAAATCAAAAAAGTTCCGAGTTTGTATCCCGATGAAGATACTTTTTGGTTTTATAAGACACGTTTTCTTGGAGCGCACTATATCAACATTCACGCCCATCCAGAACTTTATTTTTATTGTAGAACGCTCTAAAGACAAAAAAAATGAGTCGATTTACAGAATTTCAACTTGAAAGCAAGAAACTAACACCAGTTGCTGGTTACTGGGCCTATCGACTTGTTTCTCTTGAAGAAGCATTGAATCCTTTCTTGTCCGAAATTAATGAACTACAACGTTCCATAAAAGAAGCCAAAAAGCATTGCACATATCCATCAGAACATAATCTCACTCGTGATGAATCGGCTGCTTTATTATTATATACAATGGAAGCTGATGATCAAAGTTTCTATCTCAAGCTGAATCAAATATTGAGAAAAGAAGATCGAGATGAGTTAAAGCCATGGTTTGGCTATCTCAAACTATTCGATACGGCACTGAATAAGTTGCCTACGGTAAAAGGAATCGTTTGGCGAGCTGTACCTGGCAATGTGGCTAGTGATTATAGGAAAGATCAACTATTAACTTGGTGGACTATTAGTTCTTGTTCAGCATCAGCAGATGTTGTCAAAGCATTTTTAAAGCCCAATGAAGAATCAACGCTTTTCATGATTGAAGCTATCAATGGAAAAAATCTGACTGGCTACACTATGTATCCGAATGAACACGAAGTTGTATTAGGAGTTGGCACTCAATTACGTGTCAAAAGTATCGGATTTCAACATGGAAATCTGCATTTGGTACATTTAGAAGAAGTAAATGACAATTCAGATAATCAACAGGATGAAGTAACTGCATCTATGGCTGCAATACATGCTGCACCAAAACCATTAAAAATTATCATTTTACCCAAATCTCGTGAGTCACAAATCTTTTTCTCTTGTTTTCAATAGAGACGAAAGGATGCAAAAGTGAAAAGAGAAGGTGGGTTTAGGTGTGGAATGTGATTATGAGTGTTACTGCTGCACTTCTTTGTAGCGACATCCACACTCTGAAAAAAGTTTTTTCAAAGTCTTGTAAACAGCATTCGGATTGGCTACTATATATAATTCTTTATAGATTTTTGAGAAACAGTTTCTAAACTCTAGCAAACCTGTTAGGAACCGTGAATAGCGATTAAAAAAGCTCAAGATTGCGAAAAGCCAGTAGAAATTCTCAAGATTTTGAAAGCCATTCGCACTCAGTCCAGTAAGTGTGCGACCGCTTAATAGCATTTGAACTATTCATGAAAAGCGATTTTAGTTCATATATATGAAAATCGTATGGAATTTTCCGCCGATACCTAATGAATTTGATGAAGATATTTATAAAAGAAGGGTCGAAAATAGCTCATTTGGTCACTCAAAACTTTCTGTTGGTCTTCATTCTATACAGGATAGTGCAAAAGGCACACGACATCCTTTGATTGCGAATAACTTTTGATAGGAACAAACATAAATAGGTGCAGTTTTCATCGCTCAAAATACAGGGCAAAGACGAATCGAATCATATATTATAGGTTGTTCTCAGATGCTTTCTAGAGATTACTTAATAAATTTTTTAAAATATTTGTCGTAAAAATGGTCTCTGATAAAATAAGAAAAACGCAAAGAAAGTGACTTTTTCACAGAAATTAATAGATGTCGGTTCAGAATTTTGAGTAAAATAGTTATAACTTCTGAAGAAATAACTCTCAAAGTCTGATTTTTGCACGGTTTTGTAGGTCTACGATCAGCGGTTCTAAGACACACTTGATCATAAAAAATTCAGTGTAGTTACCTTATAGAGTGCGTTAGCTTTCGAAAACTTCAGTTTAAGTCCATGAAGAAAATGGGTCAAATTGACTTATATTATACATTATGATGCGTCTTCGTCTCCTCTTTCGAACAGTGAAGACGGCAGCTTTCTACCTTGTTTCTGTCAATATTTATTTGCAATAAAAGACTGCAGGTTACTTTTGGACTACCTTGTAGATTAACCTTCAGAAGTCACTATGGCAAAGACAATATCAACATCTCTAACTGTCTTCATATTCCTCATTAAATATGTTTTCACCATCTTCACGCGCTCTTTCAACAATTGTTGTAGTTGAATGTTTTGACATGGTTGAACTGAATCAAAAATTAATATTTTTATTGGTGCTTTCTTAATCTAAAGATATTCTTTCAATACATTTATTGTTTCGGATTAATTGAATTGAAATGTCTTTTTAAATTAAATTTAAAATTTCTTCTTGTGGCCAGAGCTTAGCAGTCATTGCAAGTATTTTTTATCTACAAAAAAATTGAAGATTTGCTTCTGAATACCATTACAAATCTAGTATTGGTCCCAGAGCTAGGTTATCCTGTTTTTTTTATTTGTATACAGTTTATAAGCGGATCACCTCTCAAAAGAAATGAATATGCTCATGTCATTGCTAGCATGAACTCGTACAGATAATAATGAGACTTTTTTCTCTTCGTTCAGATTCTGGCCAGTCAAGTCACTTTGCAGCAAATGCTGCTACTGTGTCGAAGAGTACAACGGTGTCACAGAAACTATCATTGAAACCTGAACTTGCTCCAAAATCAGGTATGCTTCTTTGACTAAGGTAGTATTGTTTCGTAAAAATGGCTATATGGGTTGTATAATTCAGTTATTGCTCCGTCACGGATCATCTATATCTATCTGTCATCAATCGACGCCAACATGACAGAACATCATCTTACTGAGAGAATATACCAATTCCTTCCGGAATGATGCTGGTGACATTATGAGCAACACGTTGTTTCCCATATTTTATTCGATTCAATGTAGCAAAAAACATTCATTTCGGTTGGCAGTAGAAATGTCGAAAGGAAAAATGTCGAAAAAAATATACATTAAGAAAATGGCTCATTATTCTTGTTAGAAAATCTTGAAATAGAAGACACGCTCTTTATTTTTTATGCTAACACTAACATATGTTAATAGAAAAAAAAATGTATGAATGAAAAAATAAATTTAAAAAATCCTTTTTTTCGTTTTGCAACGGTGAATGATAAGCCATCTAAGTATTCCATAGCATTTATAACACCATAATAATATCGTTCATCGAGGTTACCGATACGACGTTGAATTGCAATTGTTTTGATTTGCTCGGGTCGTGTTCCTAAACCTGTATGAAATTGAATACTTAAGTGGTAAAAAATCTCGACTAGTAGAATTATAAGAAAAGAAAACATGCATTGTTCGAATTTAGAGTTGTTATTTATGGGAGACATTGTTGTTTCTTTTAAATTTCATTTTTACATCTTTTTGTGTTAGAATTCATTTTTCCCCTTCGATATTTTTTCTTTCGACATTTTTCTTTCGACATTTGTACTACACACCTTCATTTCGTCCATCATTTTCCGATACACTTTGTACAGCGAGGTGTCAGAAACATTCTTGCACGTACGCCTAAAACGGTGAAGATCTGAAGAGCCTTGGAAATTTTTATCTGAAATATATTGTACGAGAGACTATTTTCTATGAAAAAAAAAATGTATGCTTCGAACAGCATACCTGTGGATGAAATAACTATTTCTGTCGGTCGAAAAAGCCTGGCTAATAGTCGCCAAAATTCGTCACTGTCATGCTCTCAGAAAAACAATTGAGATTGCCTGAGTTAACTAATTATATTTTTTGAAAGATAAGAGCATATTTATAAGGCACATTATACTTGCGTTCTGAAAATATCTTAGATTATTTACATACTGGGCGTCCGATAAATATCTTTACAAGACAAAAATCAAATAGATTCACTACATCTCAATCAATTAGCCTAATTTTTTTCTTTGATAAGAGACACTTCAAGGTTTCTCATCATACCACGACCGATAATATATAATATTGTAGACCATAGCTATCAAAGAGGCAAAGCTTGATTTTTATTTGGCATGATAGTCTCGTCTATGCAGTTCATCAAAAGTTCTTGTACGCCACCAACTAGAATGAATATGCTATTGATATTTTACTCGCTTTGAAAGTAGTCAGAAACTCATGGCTATTTCACTATTGAGCGTCTCACACTTATAGTTTCTCGTCCTATTGCCACTCACAAGTCACTATTTTTCGCCATCTCTGTTTCATCTATTCAAAGTTCATTTGAGCCACCTCTTAAGTTCGCAGAATCGCTGTTCGAACTCGTAATCGATAAGAGTGTGAGTGTGGAGATTGGAATGGGGATGCGGATGCGGATTTCTACCATCCTAGCAGCGACACCTTTGTGTTCACTCAGTATTGCTTGATTTATTGGTTCTTTGGATTCATTCAGCTTGAGTTCCAAGAGTCCCTCGAAATCTTTTACTGCCTCAAATTTGCAGAGTATTTTCAGTCTCGTTAGTTTCTCGTACTTGAGTGGTTTCTCCGTTGATTTATATTTCTTAAGTTATCTGAGTTTTCTAAGTTTCTAAAGATTATTCAGTTCTTGAAATTCCATGTGCATCAATATTTGTGTGCAGTTTCTTCTAAATGACTAATTTTTATGAGTTCATTCTCGTTAGCACCATTCTTTCAATTTTATTGATTCTTTGAGTTCTTTGAGAGACTTTCATTTCTTAATTTCAAGACATTTCTATAGTTTGTTGAGTTCTGTAATTGCATCAGTATCTTTGCATTCCAGCCAGTTTTTGTTTACAAATGGGTGTTGTGCTACGTTACCCGATTGAATGCGGTCAGAAGCAATTTAGAAAGTCCATACATCATTGTAATTCGATAACCCTGCTATTCGATTGGACGACGATATATGTTCCTTTCAATTATTCTTGCGACGATGAAAGAAAACTAATTATAATCTGTCCTCGCAGTCTTTAAATTGAGATAGTTCTTCGTTCATACATGTTCTTTTTCTCATTCCATTGTGAAGATGGGTAAGACGTTTTTCTTCATCTTCACCTATACCCTCAAGATTTTGTGCATATTCTGAAGATATCTTGGATTCTACGCATTTATTCAGTATGTTGAACTCCTTGTATTTCACTGAATTTTTGCACTACCTTCAGTTCCTTAGATTCTCTGGGTTTCTTGTATTTCTCAGATACCTTCGATTTCTATAATTTCTTGAATTCACTGAATAAACTTGATTCGTTAAAATTCTCAGGTTTCTTCAACTTTTTGAGTTCCTCTAAAACTTCCAGTTCTATAACTACACGGTATTTCTTACGCTTATTGAAAGCTTTCAGGTCTTTCAATTCTCTCAGTTACGTGGACTGCTTGATGTTTTCACTTTTTGAGCTTCTCTACTTTCTTCAAATCTCTTTCGCTCATGAACTCCTGAAATTCCTTGGGCTTTTCTCGCTTCTTTTCTTTCTTAAGTTTCTAAAATTGGCAAAATTCTTCGGGTTTATTTTCTTCTGTCAATACATAAATGTGGTAAATTCATACAGTGTTAGTTTGTGGTCTTGAAGGCCGTCAGAATCGATTTCAAAAAGTCTGCAGAAAGACACAATTAGAGGTATTGCTACCGTATTTGATGCTAGATTTTTCGCAACTGATAATACTTGAACAATGAGAGAGGTGGCGGACATCTTGAATGCTCTATGAAGACTACAGTTGAAAAACAAGGTTTCTACATATTTTTCAAGTAGTGAAACTCGATAAGACCAGTACTGATATCGGTCACACAATAACCTGGCCGATTGCAACGTTGGGCTATGTAGGTTCCACAAGAAAAAGCATGCATTGGCTGTTCACTAAAGAGACGTCATGGGTTTTGCAGGAGAAAGAACCTCGCAAAATTAACCTTTTTCTGACTTCTATAACCTACTCTTATTTTTCTCTAATTCGTTCATTAATAAAGAACATATATTTAATAATTTGTCCACATATTCCAGAGACCGAATCGAATCGAGCTTTTCTGGTTAAAGTTCGGTTCGGTTCATTTTCGGTTCTTGATAGGTGTGACATGTTTCTGCTAATTTATTTTAAACTCATATTCTTCCTAATTTAAGTTTATTGTAAATTTAAACTTGTTGGGATTTATTTTTGGATTTAATAAATTTTTGTAAATTTAAATTCATCAATCCGATTGTCAAAGTACATGGCTTAAAAATGTAGATAAGAAATAAGGAGAGAAACTGGTGTTATACGTTAAAAAACGATTATTGCCATAGACTATTCCGTAAAAAAGCAGCTTCTTGCCGTTGGTATTTTTTTTTATTGTACTAAAAACTTATAAACATATTTTTGATTGGACACAACAGATAAAAAGGTTCTTTTATTCCTCGAGACAACCATACAAATTTTAATTTTGCTCAAATTAAGCAAATTGTAGCTTAAAATACTTAAAACATATTTAGATATAATTTTAAATCAATTCAAGCTTTTTTTATGTTTATGCCAATTCGATTTTAATTTAAAATAAATTTAGATTCTCACGTGAAATTTATTTTAATTTATAATCATTCACAATCTGTTTTTGATTTAATTATGTTTTGTGAATGTAGATTGATCATTCCTAGTCTCTGATGTAAAGCGATAGACCAAACTTTGTTGGATAATCACCCACAGCATTCCAGTTTTACAAACAAAATATAGCGCAGTCAATCATTTTTCTTATTTGTTTGTCTACATTCAGTCACTTTTCGAAAATTAGTGAAATTTGGTTGAGTTCGACGTCGTTTTCTGAGAAGTGGTTTGAGTTCGGTTCGTTTTCGGTCTTGGGTGGGCTCATCAGCATGAGTTATTTCTTCGTCAATCGCTCTTGTTCATTCGACTCTGTCATGATGGTGAATAGAATACTGCTCTCCACTTTACTCACATCCATGAAATTCTTTATTCTCTTTGCCCATCTTGGATATCAAGAATTTTCTGTCTTTTGTTGAATTTCTTGATTTCCTTGAATGCGTTGGCTTTCTTCTGTTGCTGCTATACATTTGACTCTTTCAGCTCTTTGAATTCTTTTAAGTGTTGCGATTTCTTCGTTTTCCAGAATGCCATGAATATCGTGGATGCCTTGCATACCTTACATCACGGGCGGAGGAAAATATCCGCCAAAATCTTGAAATTATCATATTTATAACAGGAATGACTTATGCTCCACACATTTAACAAAGAAGAAATCCCTCGATATGTTCTACATTCAAAAGTAGAAAGCAAAAAGTAATAAGCTGATAAAATCACATTACTTCTTCACTCTAAGAAGACAGCGTCTTTTGGAATTGTAATTAATTGTGAAGAACAGTGAATTATTTAATTCTATTTCTCCTTGATTCGTATGATTTTATGTCGAATGAAACATTTCTTTGAAAAGGGAAACAATATTTCCATCAATAGTTTCTATGATCCACTGCTAAAGTAATATCGAATCTTAAGGGTACCCCCCCCCCTCTTTTTTGACCATTTCTGGAACTCAAAGACGGTAAGTTCGATCGAATTGAAATTTTTATTACAGATAGAACACCTAAAATGATGAGACACGTGTTCGAGGAAAAAAGTCTCTAAGGCGGTTTTCATGGTTTTTTTATGAAAAACCTTGGTTTTCCATAGGTCTCACCTTGCCAAGGACAACCCCTTTCCAACTTTGTCCGATTGGGCTGAAAATTTTTTTTGGGATAGCTACGACTATATCTCAGAGGTAGTTTTAAGCTTTTTCAAAAATATCACTTTCTATTTTTTTTATAAAAAAATACGTAAAAGTTTTTGCCAGAACCAAGTTTTTGATCTTCAGAACCCTATAAATCTGGAAGAGAGGGTCAGAAATGAAAACGGCCAAAAGTACCTCTGGAGAATACTTCAAAGTATCTATGATAAAAATTTCAGCCCAATCGGACAAAGTTAGAAAGGAGTTAT